AGTGTGAGACAGTGTGGGGGGACAAGGCTGAGAGAGGAGGAAATCTCAAGCTGAAAATCAACTCACTTCCAAAATTCACTTCCACTTGAATTCTGCTGGGCCAGCTCAGACAGTGCCCACCAGAGCTGACCCAGAGAGAGCACTCATTACATCCAACACTTTAGCTCGAACCAGTCATCACCCCCTGCCCTCAAATCGTGAATTAAGGTTGATTTTCTCTCTCTCTCGCTCTGCTTCTTAACCAAAAAGGCAAATTTAAAAAACAAGCTGAGTGACACTTTTGAAAGACCATTTCTATTAATTACTTATTTAAATTATCAATGTTATGAGTTTCTTTTTAATAAAAAGTCCATGGTTACAGTTGTAGCCCCCTTATCTTTCTGAAATTCAGTCATCACCTCCTGAGAAACAAAGATTGAAATGTGCACCCCACACCATCCCATGGGAAGACGTGGCCAGCCCTGTTCTAGATTATTGCTCCAGTGACATTATCACCACAGCAGCATCTTCAGACCCACGCTCAGGCAGCTTGCTGTTCTGTTCCCTCACCTCTGCGTACTGTTTCTGGTGAAGCATCTTCCATTTCTCCCAGCCTTCAGTCAACAGAGGGTCAAACAACAATGGTGAGGCACTGATAGCCACAGCCACGATCTCCAAAGTCCCCAGAAACAGCAGGAACATCATCGTGACTTTTCTGGAAAAAATAAAATCAGGAAAACACATCAGATGTCTTCTTTTGATCATTACAGGTCCTTCATTCCATGAACTGCGTTAGAAGCTGTTAGGAAACTATTATAAAAGCTGATTATTGGATGATAACTGCAGTGTTATAACTAGGAAGTCTTGCTAGAATTGTAGAGGACTTTGGTGAGACCATAACTGTAGTACTGTGCACAGTTTGATGGTGATGAACTGGCTCAGGACTGATGGACTTTCTTTAAGCTATTTTTTTTTAAAACCTTATTCTTAAATTATTCAAAATGGCACCATTTCATAGAGACAAATGAAAGCTTTTCATTGTATTTTATTGTAAAATACACATGACAATAAAATCAAAATCAGTTGTGGTGTTGCATTGGGAGAAATACACCAAAGGTTCACTATATCGGTTCTTAGCAGAGAGAGCTCGGAGTTTAGACAGATAGAGCGATGCTATTGGAATATGCAAGGGTTTGCAATGGTAGAAACGGTTTCAACTTGGGTATCTAGAACAAGGGGCAAGATCTCACGATAAAGGGACAACTTTTCCGGACTAAGTTGAGGAGAAATTTCTTTGCTCAATGGATTGTGAATATTTTGAATGATCTGCCCTAGAAGGTGGGCGATGGCCGAAAACCGAGAACATTCAAGGCTTCTGGTCTCTCGGGGAAACGTGGATACGGGAGCCGGTGGAGTAATGAATTTGAGGTCAAAGATCAATCATGACTAAATTGATGGGGTGTTGCCTCTGTTTGTATGGAAACAGTTCCTATGGCGAGGGTTCACTGTCCTGCAGTCACCCTCTGGTGTGCCATTCCTCTCCAATGGAATGATCTGACAGGGGGAGGTTTGAACTTCCTCCCAATGACCCAGGTGGGATGGATAATATGCTACAAACAGTCAAACAATAGCCAATCAGGGAGCAGTCAAGAGATTTCTTTGCCTCCATTTTATTCCTCAGTTCTTAGGGCACCAAAGGAATGCCATCTGAGTGTTGGGCACTGCTAAAATCAAACAAGATTCCGACAACTAAAGCCCATCAACCTTGTCCTTTTCGCTCTTAAGGTCACGATCCACTGCTTTGTCCTTACCGTTACAGTGTTGTAAAGAGCTGTCAATGTTAATTGGTTCAGTGAATAAATCTAACACTGTTGTTGCAATCAACCACCAGGCAAGGTTCCCCAGTTTGTTACAGTTCCAGATGGAATCGCTGAAATGGTCAAGGTCACAGGTGAAGAGGCCAATTAGGCTCCTCTTAGTCATTTAACAATTCCTCAGTCAGTTACAACAAGGTTCATTTAGAAAAGATCCCTTCCCTTGTGGGTACCTTCTCCAGATCCAAATCAACAGGTTTTAAAAGAAGACAAGTTAACCAGGCTTTCTTAAATTAACAAACAATTTTATAAATTACTAAAAGTTAAAAGAATTAGTAATGCAACACACAAATAGGAGGCAAACCTAAAAAGACGTACATTGAAAAAACATAGAGATTAGTCTCTTAATTGTTAATGGATAGTTGAAAGTTGTAGCTGCTGTGTTGAATGGTCATTGATACCATTGTTGTCGCTAGTTGAATCATTAATTTCGGGTACTTTAACTTATCAGATTGACTGAAGCTCCTTTGTCCCAAATCCTTTCAGCAGTGACTAACTGGCAACACTCAGAGTGAGAACTTTTTTTTCCATTTTTTACCTACAAAGCTGGGCTGTTTAAATGGCTGTTCTCATATCTGTCACCCTCACAGCACCCATGCACTAGGGTGCTAGGTCACTAGCACAGGGACTAGTGTTGCAGTCAACCTTAACCCTTTTTTTGTATATTCCTAGATGGCTAAAACACAAAAATGCTGGTGCCTTTCTACTGAGAGTTTGCAGAGAAAGTAAGGTCCTTGTTATCTCTTCCTGTTACATTTTTCTCTTTGTTTGAAATTTCCCTGACACTCTACGGGTATGACATTCCATGAATCTCACACAGGACTTAGCCATACAGCAACTGAATTTATATCTGCAGTTGCTTTCTTGGCCGTAGCAGATTTATTTTAAAAAACACATTTTTGGAACTCGAAGTTAACATGGGAATTTATGGTTCTGATCTGTTGTCATGACAATGCACACCATGACATAACCCTGTCCAGCAATCTGACCCAACAAAGTTGCTGGACTGCATGCATGTTCAGTAAATACCAAGCAAACAGATCATCTTTTTAACTTTACAAGTGAGTAGAGGAGAGAATCTTAAGGGGAGGGTTTCTTAGAGTTAGTCAGCATCATGAAGAATTTTGATAAAGTCAATAAGAAGAAACTGCTTTCAATGGTAAAACAGAGGACACACAGTTCTTGAGATGACAAAACAACCAGAAGTAGCAAACAAAAACTTTTCTTTTACACAGAAAGTTAAACAAAGAGCAAAGAACAATACAGCACAGGAACAGCCTCGCCAAGCCGGCGCTGACACATTTTGCCTTTCCATATCAAAACTGTTTTCACATACAGGATCAGTATCCTTTTATTCCCTTCCTATTCATGGTTTCATCCAGGTCCTTCTGGAACGCTGCTATTGTGTCTGCTTCCACCACCTCCTCTGGCAGCGTGTTCCAGGCACTCACCGTCCTTTACCTTGCACATCACTTATAAACATTCTTCCTCCACCACATCTTGAACCTGTGTCCCCTTCACCGGATGAAACAGCAGCACTCCAAAGTTTATGATTTCAAATAAACCTGCTGGACAATAACCTAGTGTCGTGTGACTTCTGACTTTGTACACTCCAGTCCGACACCAGCACCTCCACGTTACACTGTGTCCCCTAGTCACTGACCCCTCCACCCTGGGAAAAAGGCCTCATACTTTCCATCAAAGTCATGATTATCTGGAAATGCGCTAATTCAACAGTGTAAGTAGATACAATACAAACTTTCAAAAGGGAATTAGATAAATTCTAGAAAAGGTAGGGAATAAATGCTAGGCCCTAGGAGAAGAGCAGGTTAAATGATTAATTGTTAGGTGGCTGATGGGGGAACAATGGACTAAGTGGGTTCTTTGGGAGTTCTGACATTCTGTGGATTCTCTGTATTTGCATGAAATCCTCCTGAACGCCAGTGTTATGCTCTGTGTGATACTGTGTATTTGCTGTTCAAATTATTGCAAAACAATCTCAAGACGCAGCCTGCTTTCCCACCATCATTAAAGGAGTAAAGTCTTCATCAAAATGTATGCAACAAATAATCTTTTCCAAAAGGCATATCCCTTTAAATAAAGAAACATACTTAGCACAAACACTTGATGTGGCCAAGTTGAATTATCTCCAATTGAAAACACATTTCCTTAAAGAGACAGAAAGTAGTTTGAGTTTCTCTTCTGTCAGCACCACCAAGTTGTTTTAACCTCTCGATCTTTTGTTTTTGTAAGCTATTATTTCTGCTTTGTTCTTGTTACTTATTCCCAGATTTTAAACTAGAGATTTCAAAATCCAGTCTCATTTCCATTTTCTCAAAACTAAATGTTTCCACATGACCTTTTTTTTAAGAAAGCTCATGCTTGGAAATGTGTAACCATTCCTGCGGAACCTTCAAACAACCTGTCAGTTCATCAGAAACACTAAACTAGGGCTATGCACCATCTGCCAACAGTGATTAGTAAGTTTTACACGGTCTCTCCGTTATCTAAGGTCAGCAGCACTGAGACACTGGCTCTTCATCCAGGCCGAGCGAAACCAGCATTAATTAATTATCTCACAGACTTTAAGAGCTGCCACTGGATTTCCTGCCTGTCAGCAGGCATTGACCAATGATGGCAATGGTCAGAGAGTTGGGTAAATTGGTTGAGGGGGTTTTCATTGGTGGGAGCAAAGAGTCCCATTTTTGAACCAAGTGTGGAATAGAGACGAGGCTTCCCCTAGTGAACAGTGGGTGATGGCTGCATTGAAAACGTGAACAGCAACAGTTCCTGACAAGGTAGTCAGACCGATCACCTGGCAACACCAGCTCACCACTTGCTCCTCCATCTTGGACACCAATTGCCAGCATCTCAGGCAACCCGTCACCCCCCGCAACCGCCAAACCGCCACGCCGCACCACCTCCCCCTCCCCTCACCCCGTCCATGGGCCTTGGCATCTGGTATGTGCCATCTCTGTGCCAGAGACACGATACACTACAGGAGGTGGGATTCTCGACAGTAACCCCACTAATGACCTCGACTAGTGTGATGATTGGTTCTACTAAACTGCACCGCTGCTGCTCAATGGTAACGTTGGGAGGTGAAGTCCTCATTTAAAGAGGCGCGTGGGAACGTTTGGAAGCTCAGTACTGAAGAGCTCGACACAGAGTGCCAGGAGCCCCTGGGTTACCAGGCTGAGCCTGCGACTTACTCTGTCAAGCAAGACTGGCATTGCCTCCTCAACTCGCACAGCTCATAAATACGCAAGGAAACGGAAAATGCTAACACCACACCCAGAGTGGGTGGAATCCATGTTTGTTTTCTGTCTGAGTACGCAGGCCTCTAACTGTGAGCAACAGAAGAAAGCCCTTCAAGGGGCAACGTATTAATCAGGCACTTCCACAGTACAGGAAAAAGTCATCCTTAATCATAGAGCCCTGCATGTGAAATATAGAGTGTCCAGCCAAGTAACCACAAATCCTGGTCACCTGCAATCTTCACCATTTCATTGGTCATTACAGATTGAAGCTGAAGTAATCACAAACAATTTTACAATGGTAGATGCAGGGTACAATTCACAAAGACAATCCAAGTTCTCCTAGGTTGCTCAAGGGCAGAGAACCGATTCCCTCTCACCTTGCAGTGTAAATATTTCACATGTTCCTATTTGCAATGATGCCTTTCTTCATCTTTCAGTGATGTTAGGCTTGGGGGAGTAGGTCTCAGTCTCCACACAGCATTACCAGTCAGTCTCCTACGGTCTCGTCACAACATGACTGCTCTGCATTGATTGGGATAAGGTCCCTTCGTCAAGCATTCCACGGCCTTCCTTGTCAGAGG